TCCCGCCACCCGACGACGTGGACCGACACGCCACTCGGCGCGGGTCACCCCTAAGCGGTCGCCGATGCAGCAGGCGGAAAGCATAGACTACACTCCGGCGGCCGGCAGCCCGCTCACGGCAGGCTGCAGGTACTCGTCCAACGTCGAGGAGGACGAGGAGGCCGAAGTGCTTCGCTCGCTCGTGCAGGAAGTACTGCAGGGTTGCATGGCAACGCACACGGAGCCGTCCGCCGCCCCCACACATGCCTCCGCTGCGGCTGCGATTCGTCCTGCGTTTGCGACGGTTGGCAACCACCAAGTGCGAACACCGCGACCCCGGACGACGGCGTCGCGTGCGCGGCGGCCTGCGCAAAGAGGTGACAGGCGCCTTGGGGAAGACTCGCTCCAAAACGGGGTGCCTTCGCCGTCGCCCATTACCCCTGCCACACCACCACGGGAGGCCGATGCGACCGGCAAGCGTGCCCCAGTGGCCGCGGCGTCGACGCTGGCATCTGCCCCCTCACCGTCTACAACAGCCTCAGCGAATTCCTCCATCCTGCAGGCCGCCGCCCCGCTCTTTACGTCGGTGTCAAACAACTCCTACCTTGACTCCTCCACAGTCTCACAGCCGCAGCGGAAATGGATGTCGAGTGGGGGCACCAACTGCGACGCCTCACACTATTCTGTGGATTCGCCTCTGACGGTGACCCCCGCAGGGGACACGGACATCACAGCAACTGCTGTCCTCATACAAAATTACGCGCACGAGCGTGCGGAGACGGAGAAACAGATGCGGCAAACCCTGCATGACCTCGAACAACGCCAGCAGCATCTGCTTTTTACAGTGCAGGGAGGCGTGGCCGCTGCGGACTATACTGACGCTTCTGGGCTGACACGCAAGGAGGAGCGGAACGGCGACAGTGTGCAGCGGCACAACACTAGCGTTGCCTCCTCCGCCTCGTTGATCACAGCCCACGCCTCGTCGCGCGCGTCGTCAGCGCAGGCGTCCACCGCGGCTCCTGCACCTCCGTCTCGACTGCTGCTGCTGCAAGAGCGGTTTGCGACGATGCCTATAGCGCAGTGACATCGACGCTACAGCGGAAATGGCGACCAGGGACGCGTGGACCCGCCGCCACTGCTCTGCATCCTCCTCCTTCTTACTCTTTCTCTTCCTATTCATAGATCCACGTACGAGGTGAATGACACCGCAGACAAATCTTTGCAGGCGAAGTGGATGAAACGTGGGGTGGATACACAAAGGGGCTTCCTTTCTCCCCACCCCTGTGAACATTGTGAATGCAAGCAGAAGCGAAGAAGTGAGTGAAGATGGCCGGTGACTTGGAGTTTCACCAGGCAACAAATGACAATGAACTCTAATGTTTTTCCTTTCCTAGTTGAAGATTATAAAAAAAACATTAGACTGCAAAGACTACACATAAAAAGAAAATTAGCCTCGCTTTTTTTTTTTTTCCTTTCACCAACGTGTCCCGGGAAACAATCAGCATCCTTTGTAATCCATTACACCCCATCGACTGAACGCTTGCATTTAATGCTGCGCAAAAACCCTCTTTCGCTGTCAAAGGCTGTCCACCTCAACCCCCGCGTCGTGGCGGCGCAGTACGCGGTGCGTGGGTTGATTCCCATGCGGGCGGACGAGATCAAGAGGGCGCTGGCGACGCCGGAAGGGAAGGCCAAGTACCCCTTCTCCAGTCTTGTGTACTGCAACATTGGAAACCCGCAGGCACTGGAACAGCGGCCGCTGACCTTCTTCCGGCAGGTGATGTCGCTGGTTGACGCGCCGTTTCTGCTGGAAAGCGAGCAGGTGACGTCGCAGTACCCGGCGGACGCCGTGGCGCGTGCGAGAGAGTACCTTGGACACATCGGCAAAGGCACGGGCGCCTACACGGACTCCGCGGGCTACGCCTTTGCCCGCGACATTGTGGCGCGGCACATCAATAAGCGGGACCACGGCGCCGAACCGCTGGTGGATGGATCCTCCATTGTGCTGACGGACGGCGCGAGCACGGGGGTACGTCTGATGCTGCAGGTTCTTGTGGGCGGCGCGAGCGACGCGGTGATGATCCCCATTCCGCAGTACCCGTTGTACACGGCGCAAATTGCGCTGCTTGGCGGCACGCCTGCGATGTACTATCTGCGCGAGGACGAGTGCTGGGCCCTGAACGCGGAAGAGCTGGCGTCGGTGTACGACGAGTGCGTGGCGAAGCAAAACGCAACGCCGCGCGTGCTCGTTGTGATCAACCCCGGCAACCCGACTGGCGGTGTGCTGGGGCGCGGCGTGATGGAGTCGGTGGCGAAGTTCTGCTGTGATCGCGGCATTGTGCTGATGGCTGACGAGGTGTACCAGGAGAACATCTACGCGGAGGGTAAAAAATTCGTGAGCTTCCGCGAGGTGGTGCTAGGGCTGCCGGCGCCGTACAACACAGACACGGTGTTGGTGTCGCTACACTCAACGTCGAAGGGCATTGTTGGCGAATGCGGGCGCCGCGGCGGGTACTTCTGCTGCACGAATTTTCCAGCGGCGCTGCGGGAGCAGGTGACGAAGATGTGCTCCATCAACCTCTGCAGTAACGTGAATGGGCAGGTGATGACGGCCCTGATGTGCTCCCCGCCGCAGCGCGGGGACGCGAGCTACGAGACATACTGGGCGGAGTACAATGGAATCTTGTCGAGCCTCAAGAAGCGCGCCCTGATGCTTGCGAAGGAGCTGGGTAGCATCCACGGGTTTTCGTGCCAGCCGGTGGAGGGAGCGATGTACGCGTTTCCGACGATTCAGCTGCCGGAGAGGTACCTGCAGCGCAATACGGAGCTGAACTTGAAGGAGGGGCGCACGCTCGCGCCTGACGCGCGCTGGGCCTTGGAGCTGCTGGAGAACACCGGGGTAGTTATTGTGCCTGGCTCTGGGTTTGGGCAGCGGGCCAACACGTTGCACTTCCGCACGACGATCCTGCCGCCGGAGAAGCAGATGGAGCGGGTGGTGAAGGCGATGCGCAGCTTCCAGGAAAGCGTGTGGGCCAAGTATGCGTAGCACGCATTTGCCCGAGGTTTGCGTGTGTGCATGCAGTGGCAGGGAGAGAGAGAATGTGCGTATGCTGGCTGCAACCAGGTGCGGTGGATGAGGGGCGTAGGGCCTTGGATGATAGCAGCCCGTTTCACGGCGCTGCGCGGTGCGTCACTGTGCGGGTGGCCACTTGTTAAAGGAAGGAAAAAGAATATCAAAAACGGAAAAATGGGGTGCAAGTGTGCATTAACAAGAGAGGGTGACGCAGTACACCATAGCAACACAGATGGGGTCGAAAAGAAAACGATGAGGGCACGTAACAAAAATTAGGTTCATCTAAGCCAGAGTGGAAGAGGAGGGCGGGAAAAGGAAAAAGAGGCAAATACGGATTTATAGATGCAAAGATGTTATTGGAAAGCAATAACTTTGCAAGCACATGTGCATGTGGTGATTATCTGGACGAGGGCTGTTTAATAATCTGCTGTGGTAGGGCACGCCCATGTGTGTGTGTGTGTGTGTGTGTGTGGGAGACCTACGTCTGTGTGGCCCCATCTCTCACCGCCACCCGCTGTTCTGCAAGGTGCGCCCTGCACGTCTCTCCCCTGCCGTGTCAACTGTTGCCGCGTAGGTGTAGCCACAATGTGCAGGCCAACCAGAAGCTCAGGTGCGGCGGAGCGCACGAAGGGGGAGCCGGCTCGGCACCACCAACATACGCATCTGCCTGCCACGTTGTGCATGTGGCCGGGCATACGGAAGCGCACTTTAGTTGCAACGTGGGCGCGTGCGCCATGGGTTGGGTGATGGGAGCGTCGCATTGCGCGAGGTTTGTCCGCACTTTTTCGTCGCGGTTCGCCGTGTGTGGGTGGGCCAGCCTTGCGTGCCGGCCACACCCTGCCTTTGCTGCATTGGGCGTTGGCGCGGTGTTGGGGACCGCCGGAAAGCAGCACCGCAGCGTTTTGTTTTATGCCGCTAGGGGATACGTTGGCCTGCGTTGGCTGCTGCGCGCTCCTTCGACGCTGGCGGGTGGAGGTTAGCGGGACGCTGCGAGGGGCCCCAAGCCATTGCGGGGCAGCCACCACCGCCTCCCCAATGACGGAGTTGTTGGGCTTTTTGGTAGGCTCTGCAGTCTCTTCTGGCCGCATTGTGTGGTGGTGGGACGGACGTTCTGCAGCGTTGCCCGCAATTATGCGGTGTACGGCTTTTTTTTTTGGGGTGGGGGTTTTGTTTCGATTGTTTTGTCTTTGTTTTTGCGCCTCTCTTACGCGTGTTTATTAGGCGCACACGTAGCGTGCATTTCTTTTTTTTTTTGTTTTGCATTGTGGATGGGCGCCGTGGCATGGCAACCTTCATTTTTCTGCCTACGTGGTTTGTGTCCGCCCATGAGACGGGTGTTTTGCTTTTTGCTGGCCTGCTGTCTGTCTGTTTTCTCCCCGTCCCGCCCTCGGTGGTGCTGGGTGATGGCGTCTCTCCTTCACTTTTTGTCTTTGTCTTTTTTGCTTTTTCTCTTTGTGTTTTGCTGCAGCGGGAAAGAACGTTGCGTGCGACGTGTGTGTTTCACGCTTCTCCTGTAAACACGGCGTGAACTGTGAGGGCAGCGGAACGGCAGTCCCACCACGACTGAGCCGGCGTGACAATAGAACACTTTCCACGGCACTCCTTTTCTCTTCTGCCTGTGTGTTTAGTTCACTTCTCCGCACACTCAGATCCACACACTCGTAAAACACCACCTTACCGGCGTGTTGGGTTGAGCTGCGTGGTGGTGGCGGTAGAAGGAGGACGCAGCAGTGGTAGAAGAGAAGCCATTACGGCGCACTGCTATCATCATTGTTTAGGTGTCATTAGAGTTGTTTATTCGTTTGGGTCATTTTTGTTTTTGTTTTCTACCTTCTAGTGCCCACTGTGCGTGCGCGTGGAACTTTTGGACTGTGCAAAACCCCCGGCACGAATCCTGTACCTTTGCTCACAGACGATATAGCTCCAGTAAATCATTATATATATATATATATACCTAACATTCGCAGAGGGAGCGTAGGTGTCGGTGTGCGAGTGAGGGAGAGCGTGGGAGCTGTGGGGGTCATTTGAGGTGGACCACACAATATTGGCGCTACACAGCCTTCGCTTCAGATGCTGCAGCTTTCACGCCTGATGCAGTGCGCCATGGTTGCCTCCGCCTCCTCCTCCGTCCTTGCCTCCGCACGTGCGTTGAGCAGCGGGCGTCTGGTGAGAAAAAATGCGTTTGCTTCCGCGATGGCTGGCGAGAGCGGCGTGGACGGAGATGGTGAGGGCGGGGGCAGCGATGACATGGAGGTCGTCCGCACCGTCCGTAGCGACACGATTGGCGGCGCGGAGGCAAACGCCGGTGTGCAGTTTGACTTTTCCGGCTATGAGGCAGACATTGGAGATGGTGCAGTGCTGCCGCTGCCGCTGCCGCTGCCGCTGTCGCTTCCACTCTCCCACCAGCAGCAGCAGCAGTGGAAGCAAAAGCCGCAGCGACACGGCGCGTCACCACGCCTGTCGCCGTCCTCGTTTTTGCCGCCATCGCTACCAAAGGAGGTTCTGCGCGTCTCCGACGCGGGTCGTCTCGTGGAGGCCAAAAGGCGGCGAGGGCAGGCGCAGGGGGCGCAGGCGGACGACGCGGCGGGGGCAATGGACAACTCTGGGGGGTTGCCGGTGGGCGGGGAGGCTGCTGGGCACGAGCCCGCGGGTGACGATCACGCTACCGCCCCCAATGGCCACGTGCATCAGAAGCGCCCCAGGAATGACGGCGACAAGGCCAATGGCTGGAGGGATAACATTAACGATAACAATAACCACCTCATCCCCACGGGGCTCACGAACCCGTTTCTTGGGCTCCACGACCACATCACGCGCAGCTACCGCCTTGATCAGCTGCTGGCCGTTGCACGCCCCGAGGACGTCCTACTAGGGCGGCAGGAAATGAAGTCAGGGGCCTTTTCGTTTATTCGTTTTGAGACTGGCCCACAGTTCTTGGCACATAACGCGAAGAGTTCCTCGGTGTCGCAGAGCGGCGCAGTTACCCACAACGATTGCGCTCTCGTGGTGGCGGAGCGACTGCTTGCCTTTCCCCCACACATGCGGCACTTCCACACTGTGTGTGGTCGTGAGAATGTTCCGTGCGACTTTTTTGCTGACGTTGACCTGCCGAATGAGACCCCCGCATCGGGGGAGAAATTGCTGCTCGAGATGCTGAACTACCTTGAGGTGCGGCTACAGGGTATTGGCTTCCACCAGCCCTCGTTTCTAGTCTTCACAAACGAGGTCCCAAGCGCGGATAAGGTCTCGTACCACGTGCACGCTCGTTCGCTGGCTCTCCCAGGCAAGGAAACAAAGGCGGAGGCGGAGGGTGAGTCCGACGACGTGGACCGCGACGCGGGCAAGGACGAAGCCCTGGGGAAGGGGTCGTTCCAGCGACAGCGGAGCAGGGGGAAGGAGACACCAGCGAAGAAGCCAAAGCTAAAGAAGTTTATTGCTTTTCAGGATTACCGGGTCGTTAAGCTCCTTGCGGATGAGGTTAACACGACGTTAGGGCGCAATGTAGTGGACGAGCAGTGTTACCGCACGAACGGCATGCTGCGTTGCGCCTTCAGCAGCAAGATTGTCCCCTCCCCCAACGGTGGGGTGGTGCGCCCCAAAGGCAAGCAACTAGTCCCCATGCTCAAGGCCCAAGATGCGGCGCTGCAGCGACGGCTCAATGACATGGCTGCGTACCTGGACACACTTAGCGAGGCCGAGATACTAGAGCGCACCTTTGGCACCCGCTTCGCCCCAGTCACGGAAAGTCATAGGGCGGACGCCGTGAAGGACACCTCCCGGAGTTTTAAGCTACTGAGGGCGAAACATGTGTTGGGCCCGAAGGAGGCGGATGCGGTGGAATTTGACGCCTACGGCAACTCCGTCTCTGTGTATCTCACGGAGGGAGCCAAGTGGCGTCGGTTCAAAACGGTAATTGACAAGCTGCGACGCATGCCGCCACAGTCGGCGGAGAGTTACGACGTTTGGGTGCGTGTAGGTCTCGCACTGCACAACTTCAGCAACGAAGACCACGTCTTTGAGGAGTGGGTGCGCTTCTCGCTAAAGTGCCCACAGAAGTACTCACGCGAGTCATGCCGGAAGAAGTGGCAACAATTTGAACGAAATCCTGACGCACTCAACTGGCGGCGTGGGTTTAACTACCTGAACTCCACCGTATGGCGGTCTTTGCAGCGGTAATGAGGGGGCGGGCAACAGCACCGGGTGCGGACGAGGAGACACCCACGACGAACACATGACGGGCATGAGGGTGGGGCCGCGGGTGGATGGATGGGCGTGAAGACAGGGCGCCGTACGTTAGACGCATCCATCATTGGATAGACACATGATGCATACAGGCGTTTGTGTGTGTGTGTGAGTGGGGTGGGGGGCGATGTATATGTTTGTAGCCAAGGTTGTCCCTTTCACAGCTCAGCGTATGCATACACACAGACACGCAGACGCACACGCGTATGCATTTATTTTTAATACATTATTTTAGACGTAGAAGAGACGGAGAGGAGGTGTGAGGAGGGGGCCAAAGTCTCAAAGCCAACACACCACACACACGCGCATACACATGTGATTTGCAAGGCACCCAAGATCAGCGAGAGGTGTGTCTGTATGGGGAGAGCGGGAGCTGCAGGCGCGCACATGTGTATGAAGCAATTAGAAACGCCCCTCCACCACTGCCAAAAAGAGGGCGAGCAAACAAACAAACAAACAAACAAACAAATCGACAAAACAAAGCGAGATATCTGTGCATATATGTGGTGGGAGTGGTGGGGGAGTGGCCGCCACGCAAAGCGGCGAAGAAAAGCAAAGAGTCACACGAGAAAATAAAAATAGGCAATGATGCATGTGGGGCGGGGCGGGGGAGCGAGAGAGGGGAGAGAGAGAGAGAGGGTGGGAGGCTGAGGGAGGTTGCAGCACACACACACACACAGAGAGAGGCAAACATTCACTGATAGAACACGCAGGGGGATCCACTGTGTGGAGGGCCTCTTCCCCCAAAGAGAGGAGGAGTAGGAGGAGGGCAGACACCAAGGAACATGTTACCGGACGCTTCAATGTATGACGTTCAGTTTATTATTCCTCTTTGGTTTATTTTTCTTTTGCTGTTTCTTTTTTTGTTTTGCATCTTGTTGTTGTTTCAAACTTTATTTGATGTTTATTTATTCACTTACGTTAACTTTTCTTTCCCTTGCTTTCTTCTCCTGCAATCCCCTCCGTTTTGTTCTGGCGCCCTGCATGATGATCGTTCTTCCTGTCTTTTTCTTCTTCTTTTTGTGCATGCGTGCAAGCAGGCGTCAGCACTGCTACGTGCCTGCGCGTTGGTTGACTGTGGCCCACTTTTTTCTTCTCGTTGCTCCTTTTTTTCTTTGTTTCTGCTTCCTACAACTTTCTCTCTCTCTCTCTCTCTCTTTCTCTCTCTCTTTCTCTTTTTATCTCGCCCTCTCTGCGTGTGGCAGAGTATTGAGTGAGCAGAGATTGTGACTGGAACAGTAGGATTTGTGCGTGTGTGTCATGACCGACGGTGAGCACGCCAAGCCAGGTGCGGCAGACATGGACACCATCACCGCCCTTAGCGTGCGAGAGCAGGTGGAGGCTTTGGCGCAGGCTTTGTTGCGGGAGTTTATGCACCGCCGCGGCTACACGAAAACGCTGCAGATGTTTGACCGCGAGTGCCCGCGTGACGCGCGCACAATTGCCTCCCGCCAGCTGATGCGACAGCTACTGGAGATCCCTGCGCATGCGTTTCCCTCACGACTGAGCGCCCCCGCAGAGGTGGCGGTGGACACCGACAAAAAAGATAGAAAGAAGAATAAGCATCCGCCTCCGACGTACATGGAGGAGCTGTGTTCCTACCGACTACAGAAGCGGGAGGTGCAACAACGTTGGCAGCAGGCGGAGGAGCAGAGGCGAACAGGAGCGGAGGCGGTGCTGACGGTGAAAGATCCCAGTGATGCGGAGATGGAGGAGTGGCGCGGGGCTGCGACGGAAAGGGAGCGGCGTATTGCGGAGGCACACGAGCGAATTGCGCGAAAACAGCGGAAACGGGACAAACTGCGAAAGAAGCGGGATAAAAAGCGACAAAAGCAGTCTGAGGCGGAGGACGGGTGTGGGGGCATGGCGCAGGTCTCCCACGCTGCCGCGTCCCATCATCATGGGAAGCACCATCGGCGCCCTGACGACATCAGCGACGACGACGAGCTGTTGCACCCTGTGGGCGGGTGGGCGCGGCGCCAGAACAGTGGCAGCGCGGATGATGGCGGCGGGGTCGGTGGTGGAGGCGTGCTTGGCAGCGCCGCACACGGCAGACTGGCGGAGCCGGAGTTTCTTTTTGGTCGGCTGGATAGGCAGGGCGAGGGCCGTTTGACAGGCCACGCGGTGGGCTCGCACTGGGCGCCGAGTAGCGGGGAAATGCCGGGTTCGCTGGGATCGGGGGGAGGCACCCCATTTATCCCGGACGCTCCCGCGGTGGCGTCGTCAGTGACCGGGGCCTCCGCCACCACTAGTGCTGCCTCCGAGCGAGCACCTTTTTTTCTCGTGGGCGAAGGCATGTCACTCATGTCGGAGCGAATGCAGGCGGCAAAGCGGCATAACGCGTCAGAGGATTGGCGACTGCCAGCACCGATGCCGCTGGCATCGTCCTCTATCTTACCCGCCTCTGTCATGCGAGAGGTCGGCGCTACTGGTGGTGGCGGGAGCCGCGGCATGCGAGACGGCGCCGGGTTCGTATTGAAGTCGGCGTCAAGTGCGCGGCCGCGGCATGCCTCGCGCGAAATCAGTCAAGCGGGGTCGGTGCTGGCCTTTCCCTACGCCACGGCCGGGTGGCAAACAATGAGCCACAGCCCCAGCAGCCACGCGCGCAGCCTCTCCACTTCGGCGGAGGAAACGTCCCCCGTCTCTATCCCTCCCGCGCCGGCGAGCGGCATCTTGAAGTTGTCGTCGGAGCCTCGTCGCGGGTTTGATGGTAATGCCCGCCCTGCGTGTAGCGCAATGCGTAAAATTACCACATCGAAAGATGCTCTCCCCGGCAACAGCAAAGACGATGCAGCAGGAGGCGAAACAAACGGCAACGAACGTGAACAGTCATCGGGGAGGAAGAAGCGCAAGGTGACCATCCTGGTAGACTAGACAGTGGCGGTGTTACTCCCTTGTTTTGTTTCTCACCGCCCACGGCAGCAGCAGCTCCAGTAAGCAAAACGCCACGGCACGAGGGCACGGCGAGCATAGGAGAAGCAAAGGTAAAGTAGAGAGGCTTTGCTTGGAAGTGACAATCTTGTCAAGGCAAGTAATGGCGGGGGTACGGCTTGCAACGTGTCTGTGCAACTCTCCATCCACCTCAAAGGAGGAAAACGCGAGGAAGTAGAACAAAAAAAAAGGTATGAGTGAAAAGTGACTCTGGAGAGGAGGTGAAGGGGAGTGAAGGCGGTAATAGAGACGAGGGAGAAGACAGCTCTGCGAAAGGGAAGGAGGGATGGAGGCGAGTGATGGATTTGGAGGGGGTGGGGGGTGATGCCTCTTCCTAATCTACTTTTTTTTCTCCCTTTTTTTTTTTTTTTCCCGCTCTTCTCGGTGCTGCCAATATCGATGCATCGTTCGTGGTTCGCCCGTTCCCCTCTCCCTAGCTAATACCCTTTACGCCTATCTCACCCTGCCAAACACAACGTGTATACATCTATAAGTATATATGGAAGAGGCGCGTGGAAGATGTAAGTGCAAACAAATAGGGCCTCGTAGATGATAGAGAGAACCTTCTCCACTCCTTGATTATTTTTTTTTTTTTTTTGACGTACTACTTGATTCATGTTTTCAAGTATTATCGCGTTGGGTGGTGATGGTGGGGCGGCGACTACAGTTGTTTTTTTTTTTTGTCTTTGCTGCTTTCGTTTCCACGACCCCCACCCCGCCCCTCCACGCTTGGGAAGGGCCTGGCGGCTGCGGGGGAGGGGGCCCACAGGACCGCCACCTCGCGCGCGTTCACAGCGAGGGATCCGCTGCCATCTTCCTGTTTTTTTTTCTTTTTTTTTTTTGTGAGTTCATTTGCTGCTCTCTCGCAGTGTGCGTGTATGTGGGACAAATTTACTCTCCAGCGGGGGGACGCCGGGTGCACACCGCCCTGCACCGCCACCACCCCGTTGTTGTGCGCCTTCCCCTGTGTAGGAATAGGAGGGGGAAGACGGCAGTCAGGCGCAGCTTGTGTTGCTGTCGTTATTC